CTTCCTAGGTCTCCTTGATTCTTGCATTTTTTTCATGAGCTTTAAAAAACGAGACTGTACACTACTGCAAAAACTAACCCACTTGCAGTCGATGGGCTCCGAGATTCAGTAGATTTGACCTGACGCTGTTCAGGAACAGATTTATTAAAAAACCATTCTTAAACAAAAATTATGCTTTTACTTTAACAATTGTTGCCTGCAATGCAGGGGTCGGTGGTGTTTTGTACACCTGAGGGAGCAAATAGCGCCCAAGATAAAGCCGAGGGTGCCATTCACCTCCGGGGGTGTACAAAACAATTGTTTTGTTATACTATAGAGAAAGGACACAGTAGGAGTTTGAACTGCCCGGGCTTTAACATCTGGCCAATTACCGCTTTCTGGTATGTCTGGTATGTCCGTAGCCTGAGCGTAGTGGACGCTTGCTACGCATCACCTGTTTCACAACCACGAAGCCCCTTTGTACCCTATGATCGCCGCTGCAATTTGTCGCTGGTAATCTACAACCTTAAAACTTTGTGCATAAGAGAATGAATATTCGTGCGTTTGTTGGTGGTTGACATGATCTAATGACAACATCGAATTTAATGTTTGCGCTGTTACTTGCATCATGCTGTGAGCCCTAAATCTATATGTGCAGTCATTTCCCTTAATGAGCTCTTTTGGGACTAAATAGCCTGGTTGTTTACAAGATTCTGTGTTTTGTTTGAATCATTTTTTATTATGGCATTTACACAAAGGAGTATTTTATGAGATTTCACGATCACTCCCTGTGATGAAATAGCGCATAGTGTTCCTTAATGTGAAGCTTTCCAGTAAAAGTCAACATCTTTTTGGCCATTCTTAGCCAAATTTTACCAAACCTTTGAACACTGATGTATTGGAAGGAGAAGAAAAAAATTACAAACTTTGCATGGGTAATGGAACTATGTGTCAAAATTTAAAAAGTTTATTTACGATGGCAAAAGTAAATCTGATATTGGGGATGTTTCTCTATTTTTCTAGTCACAACAATAATTTGTATTTAATTGCAACCAAAAATATAAGTATTGCTAGGATAACTGGCCCCGCTTGTCCGGCTGAGATGCAGGCAGTAATCAGGCATTTTCGGAATGTTTTCTATTAATCATCTGACTCGGCGGCGACCATCACTGAACACTTTGAAGTGCCAGAGTTGCAACTTCTTCTGCGTCCTTCCCCAATGGCTATACAATGTCCGAAGAGTCAAGTGGACCAGCCTTGTATGGGTAATCATGCTTTCTTGCAAACTAAATTCAAACAGTTTACATATTGAAACACTTGAACAGCAAATTTAATATTGAATCACAAGAACAAATATCGATTGTGGTGTCATTTCTTGAGCTGAGTTTTTTTGGGGGGGGTTCTTTGGTGGAGGGAGAAGAAATGAGCGTTTTATACAAACAATGAGCAGAAAGGGTGATCAGAGCATAATGATTCTTGTTCCACGCGCATTATAGCTAGGGGCACGACTAGAAGTCTAAAAATCTGCGGGTCTTTGTCCTGATGGTACATGGAAATGAATGCTTCAGTGTCCTCCACACAGCACATCTCCTACAATAATCAACGCGTAGTACCACCGCAGCTATCCATTCTCGTACCCACGATAACACAGTTACAACTGGGAACACGATACATCAACTCTGGGAAAGATCGCCGTTATCCATCACTTTTGTAGCCCGGCAACTTCGCCAAAGTGCTCTTTACGTAAGTAATGCATGCGTGCTTGTAGCATATCATGATCAATTTGCGACCAGTAATATTAAACTATCCGTGGGAAATACTTCAATGCCACAGCAGAAGCACCCCACCATCGGTTGAAGAGAGTCATGTTGGTGGCGAGTGTTCATTTTGTTGGAAGTGATTGACCTGAACGCGTGCATTTCATAGTCGTTTGTGAACCAGCGAAGACTTGATTTGAACAGCCACAAAAAAGCAAGATGATTCAGAAAGTCAGTGAGAATGGGAAGTTTCCATACCATAGAAATGAAAGTTCCTTTTCAAATAGAGGAATTTAGCCCAGTTATCTAAGCATTTACCCTCAAACGTACATAGACACCACCACGTTGCTTGCCACTTCCTGTCATCGATAGCCGGTTGTATAGTACTTTCCCGGCATTCCAGGGGCCGACCCACGAAAAACTAATCGAGCTGTTAGTAAACATAAGAGAAGACCTGCCAGAACTCAGCCACAGTGTTTCATTTAGTGCGACATGGACACATGACGCAATAGGGATTTCTTTTTTCGTTATTTTGGAGGTAGCATTGAAGCCAATGCATTCGGAAAAAGTATCCACAGTTGAAACCAGTTGGCTTCATGTTTAGCGACATTTAGCAACATGGTTCAGCTAACTTTTTGAGCTGACTTAAGGTCCTAGTGATAGGACGATTTTAGCCAGGATTTTACCGGCAATAGATAACAGTGAGATACACGGTGGTTTCCGCAAATGCGCCAGTCACCTTGACGTTTAAAAATATTGACAATCGTGGCATCTTTGAAAGCCTATGGCAGCTCACCCATTATCCAACAGGCAGTATAGAGGTCAAGCAAAGCAGCCTGAAGCAAAGGTCCACCTTTCTTGAAAATCTCAGCCGGGATTCCATCTGCACCAGGGGCCTTTCTAGCGCTGGTGTTCTTGACTGCCTTGACAAGTTCCTCAAAGGACGGTGGGACATCAAGCTCATTGTGCATGGGGTGGGCTTTCATTCTGTCAATCGCTGCCTCATCAGCAAAGATGGCTGATCAAGTAGTGTTTGGAAGTGTTCTTTCCACCAATGCAGAATGTCGTCAGGTGACGTGAACAAATGTTCACCGTCTGCGCTCAGTACAGGAGTCGTACCTATCTGCGACGGCCCATAGATCGTCTTAAGGCAGTCATAGAAGGCCTTGGTGTACGCGGTCGGACAGTGGCCTTTTTAATCTTTCCCGTCTGCGTTCTCATCGTAGGATGCTGGTGTGTTGTCTCCCCGATCTTCTTTATGCCGACGACACAGCACTGGTGGCTCACTCACTTACTGATATTCAAGAAATTATGATGCGCTTTGCACAATCAGCAACAGCTTTTGGACTCTACATTAACATCAAGAAGACAGAGGTACTGTACCAACCTGCACCCGATCGACCCCCCGTGAAACCTGTCATTTGTTGGACGGGAATCCACTGAACGCGGTACAATCGTTCAAGTACCTTGGCTCCATCATAACGGTGGGAAACACCCTAGATGCTGACCTTGATGGCAGGATAAAAGCTGCCGCTGCCTCCTTTTCACGTCTGAAAGACCAGCTTTGGAGTCAGAGTGGCATTCGACATAGCATAGCATATTCGACATATTGGGTATATTGGCTGTGGTATTGAGCGCATTGTTTGACTCGGCCGAAACCTACACACTCTACTGAAAGCACATAAACAGGCTCTCCGCCGTCCAGCTAAGGCAGCTTCGCACAATCACGGGTGTCTCCTAAAGGGATAAGATCACTAATATTGAAGTTCTAAAACGAGCCAACATGCCTTCCATTGAATCCATTCTGGCCATGATGCAGCTTCGTTGGGCTGGTCACGACCTACGTATGTCTGATGACCGCATCCCTAAGGCCCTTCTATACGGTATACTGTCTGTGGGGAAGCGAAATCGTGGACGACCCCTGCTTCGCTACAAAGACGTGTTGAAACGCAACATTAGTGTTGCCGGTCTCCGAGCAGACTGGGAACGTCTAGCTCAAGATCGNCTTTCCACAGACGCAAAATGTCTTCAGGTAACGTGAACAAATGTTCACCGTCTGCGCTCAGTACAGGAGTCGTACCTATCTGCGACGGCCCATAGATCGTCTTAAGGCAGTCATAGAAGGCCTTGGTGTACACGGTCGGACGGTGGCCTTTTTAAGTGTCTTTCTCGTCTGCGTTCTCATCGTAGGATGCTGGTGTGTTGATCTTCTTTATGCCGACCACACAGCACTGGTGGCTCACTTACTTACTGATATTCAAGAAATTATGATCCGCTTTGCACAATCAGCAACAGCTTTTGGACTCTCCATTAACATCAAGAAGACAGAGGTACTGTACCAACCTGCACCTCATTGACCCCCGTGAAACCTGTCATTTTGTTGGACGGGAATCCACTGAACGCGGTACAATCGTTCAAGTACCTTGGCTCCATCATAACGGCGGGAAACACCCTAGATGCTAAACTTGATGGCAGGATAAAAGCTGCCGTCGCCTCGTTTTCACGTACGTCTGAAAGACCAGCTTTGGAGTCAGCGTGGCATTCGACATAGCACAAAATGTCGGGTATACAGGGCTGTGGTATTGAGCGCATTGCTTTACTTGGCCGAAACCCACCCACTCTACAGAAAGCACATAAACAGGCTCTCCGCCGTCCAGCTAAGGCAGCTTCGCACAATCACGGGTGTCTCCTGGAGGGATAAGATCACTATGTTGAAGTTCTAAAACGAGCCAACATGCCTTCCATTGAATCCATTCTGGCCATGATGCAGCTTCGTTGGGCTGGTCATGACCTACGTATGTCTGATGACCGCATCCCTAAGGCCCTTCTATACGGTGAACTGTCTGTGGGGAAGCAAAATCGTGGACGACCCCTGCTTCGCTACAAAGACGTGGTGAAACGCAACATTAGTGTTGCCGGTCTCCCAGCAGATTGGGAACGTCTAGCCCAAGATCGTCAGACATGGTGGGTCCTAGTCCCACAGGGGGCAGAACGAGTTCAAGAGGCTTGGGTCCGCAGACAGGACGAACGGCGTGCACGCAGGCATGCACATGCTTTGGAGACACCTCATGCCGGCATAGTCTGATAAGACGGCCCGACGACGACAGCCGCCGCCGCCGCAGGAGCAGCAGCCACAGCAGCAGCCACAGCAGCAGCAAATAATCTTTCTAGCCGTCAGCGTCTGAATATCATAGCTCAAAGATTGAATTCCTTTATAACAGAATGTTATTTACTGGGGAAAATATACCCAATTTCCATTGGTCTAATAGCAAAAATTCCAAGAAACCTCATTTGCGAGCCAAATGTATTGGGCAGGTACCAAAAAGCTACAGGAAATAAATGAACAATAGTTACTATCGAAATTCCACATGACTCCGCATACCACATACCGTATCTTTAATCAAAGGTATTTTTCAGGACTTGCATCACAGACATTGAGGTATTTTGTGTCAGAAGGATATCCGACAAAAATTTGCTATTACTGTACAGCAGCTCCCCCTCAAAAGATAGACTGTGATTCAAGCAGCCAAGAACCTCTAAACAAAAATTAACTGAGCGCACCTGAACAAAAAATACGAAAATCCAAAACTAATGAGCGTCTTCACGGTACGGTTGCTTCTACAGGAGGAGGCCCCTAACCTCGGGCACTTGCTTCCAAATAGGACCAAATCCAATCAAGTCTGCATAAAGGTTGCCTAGAATAAAACTGCTAAGCTTAACAAATAAAATTCAAATTCATTTGAATTCATACCATGCGTACTGTGTCATTGTAAAAATAACTTCAATAAAATTGTATACCTTAAAACCATATGCCTTAAAACTTCATTGGGTAAGTTTGGAAGAATACTTGCCGAGATTGAAGTTAAAATTTGCTTTTCCAATGATGGTGGATTTTAGTGTTTGCATATTTTAAACAAACTACAAGCATTATCACATCTAAAAATGATTTCGTTGAATCTGATTATTAACAAAGCATTTAATTACCAAAAACATCTCAATGGATAGTTCAGACGAGAGCCTGTAGATGGAAAACGTTCATATTTCATTATGGCGAATGGTAATTTCCGTATCTATTTTTTTATTGTTAAAATTGCTTAAAGGTGACGAAGTGGCACCCGTTGGAATATTTGAATGTGCACTTGAAAATGTAAAAGTATATCTTGCAGACCATCAGTCCACCCCCAGGTAGGAATTTTTCACCCAGATTAAGTTGTTTGAAATTTGATGACCGTTTTGCATAAAAAGTAGGATTAATGAAGCTATTATACTCAACTCGAGAACAACGGAAAAACCAAGAAATAGTGAGTCTACCGTCTTTAATTAAAAATCCATGTATATGTCATCAATAAAGTCGTGACAAACATTTATAATAGAGAGTCTTTTAATGACTTATATAGAAAGCGGACTTGATGGATGTACAATCATGCCAAACATGTAGACATCGCTCAAAGCAGGCCCCATTGATGAGCAAACAATATTAACAGCTTTTGAATTAATTTTAAGGAGTCTGATGTAATCGACACAACAGTACACTGTGTTTATTGACACCAAGTCTTCCGTAAGCAACTGTGAAGGACTGCACAAAATATCTGAATTAAGGCGCTTTCACAATTTGGCAGCGTATGACGTTTGCTTGACGACCAGATCTGGTGTAATGTCGCTCACGCTGGAACAGCCTGTAGAATCAAGAGTAAAATAGCAAAGACCTTCGATGGGAATTGAAGACGAAATAGTTTGTTCTGTTGCTGTATATTGTGTATATGAAAACAAAGTTACGAAATTAAACACTCTAATATGCCCGGGAATTGGGGGTTGGGTGGGGTGGGAAATTGGGGGGGGGGTTGACTTGCCAGGCCATGGAAATTGGAAAATCGGGCTAATGGGTGCGCTGACACCGTATGACACTTAAAGTATAGGGGGCGATATTTGTAATACAGGTATACAGTACGTTGTTCTCAAAAGTATTCATACCCTTTGGAAAATAACATACTTTTCTAAATTCTTCACTTGTAAAAGCTATTATGTTAGTACTTCCACTGTATCTTTTGTCTATTTGTTGCAATACATAAACCCGTATGTGTATTGGCTAAACTTCATTTGCATAATAATAGATACGGCCCCGTCTCGGGTTTCGTTTTTGCTCCTGTGCAAAAGTATTGAAGCTTCGGCATCGGCCGGCCGGTAGAGGGCGCCAGCATGGAACCACGATGGAACCTTGCAGTGGAGCCCCAGCTGGTTGGCCTCGGAGACTCGTAGCCTGCGGAGCCGGTGCAGTAGGTTTGATTTCTTTGTTTGTTTGTTGGGGTGTTTGTTTGTTTGTTTTTTTGGCGTTGCCAAGGACGTGGCAGTTCGTGTTTGGAAAGAGTAAGGCTAGGCTGTGTTTTGTGAAATAAACGGCGGAAGACGCCCCTGGAACCACAAAACTCTGCGTTTAATACTTTGATTTTGTCAGGTATTAGAGAAGCCATAGGTGGCCTACGTTACATTGGAGGCAGCGGCGTCATGTTGATGATTAAGATAAAGGTGATTTTGCTGCTGACAGTGTCCCGGCGGACAAAATGTTCCATCCGGAACACATTCAAGCTGCACTTGTCAAGGAAACAGGGGCGGGATTCAACCAGAAACACTTAAAATTGAAGACGTGCAGGCGAGACTCCCCGGAGGATCACCCCATATTGTAGACAGCACCGCAACAGTGGCTCCGTACCACCCAGAACGTTGCCAAGATGCACCTGTCGAGGCGGCCGGGGAGGGGCTATACTTTCAGCCACCCACGGGTGCCCACCAGTTTTCCCGAATAAAAGAAGGGGAGCGGCAAGAGCTGCTCCGCACACAAGTCAACGGGGCCCAACGGCTCC